ACATAAAGAAGGATGGACACAGCGAAGCAGGGCTTGACAAACGCACAGACGGACGAACGAATGGATGCACGGACGGACGGATGGATGGAGACACGCACGGATGGACGCAAGGACGAACGGATGGTCACATGGACGGACGCACCGACGGACGGAAGCAAGAACGAACGTAAGCGCGGACGGACTGACGGCTGCTTCGCCCCACTCATCATCATTCACTCCGTGGATATGCTGTGATTTTTTTTGGTGAACTTCGCGTCAATCCATTCGTATGCCTGTCTGTCTGTACGTGCATTCCTGCGTCTGTCGTCCATCTAGTGAACACTCCAAGCACCGCCATCTCGCAACTTTTCACATATATTCATCATATTATAGGAGTACCACCATCCAGCGGAGCTTGCAAGGACTAAACGAGAGGTGGCTACTACTACTACTACAACCACTACTACTACGACTACTACTACTACTACTACTACTACTACAGAATACATCGCAGACACATGACCCAGGGCTGAAGGAAGTTCCTGAAAAGGGGGATACGCACTCCTGTGAAGGCCGTGAAATAATGGCCGTCAAGCGCGCCTGTTATCTAGACAGCAGGACAGACCTGTCGGTCCCGTCATGCGGTTATCAAGGTTCTCGTGTTATCGCGTTTTTCGGCAACTAAAACACGTTTATTCACTCACTAACTCAGTTCGCACGAGGTATTTACGTATTATCAACCATTTGCACGGCACAGTTCACCTCAATATGAACAGCCGTGCCTGAAAAAGGGTAATACGTTTGTTGATATATAACCATCAATTATCGAAAATCATGCAAACTAAGATTATAGTTAGGTGGGTGGAAAGCTTACCTGTTCTTACGAATTCTTTGAAACGTCTTTGTTGCCTAAAACGCTTTCTGTTTGATGTAAGTATGCATTCGTCACTTACGCCACACCGCGCGTCTTTCGAAGTGGCCCGGTGTACCGAAGCACTTATTAGCATACTTACCTGGTGTCGGATTTCCGGTGATCACTCCCGTGCCGAGGCCTATCCATTGCACTGCCGTGAGCTGAAGCATACCACGATCCAAGCCGGGGCAGATGCGGCATGTAATTTTTGGGCTAGGCATACGCGCCAGCCCCTGCCATACATACATGAATTAAAGTAAGACCAGAACACATATTATTGGGCGAGAAACCCAAGGTCTATCCTAATACGTAGCTCAGGTTCGGGCGAAAAGCGGTTCAGGAGCCAGCGACATCAGCATGGGAAGTTATGGGAGCTGCGATTGAAGCGCGACTCTGTGTGGAGGGAGCAAACGCTAAGAGTGAAAAGCAAAGTTTGACCCCAAGTTGAAGCAATCACTATGTTTTACAAATGACACACACACAACGCTGACTTTCCACTGGAAACGCGGTTTCAACGCGGTTCCACAGATGACGGTGATGACGATTGGGGCTTGTTACCTGAGAGTGGCAAGTGCAAGGTGATGTAAGGCAGGTGGGCGCCGCAAGAAGCTGCTACCTAGGGAGCCTACATGAACGGCCGTGTTTAGAGTGATGTCAGCCTTTGACCCACTACATGCTGCCAACGCACCGCCGCCCGCCAAAATACAATGTTGCCAGACAGCAACGCCGCGCTGTCGCCCCATCTTGGTGCCCGCACTGCGTCTACGCCCGGTTGCGTTTAGTTCTCAATAATACGGCGTCGAACGTTGCGGTAGCGTGTTAAACGCGGCCGGTGAAGCCTTAGAATGCCTGGATGCTGCGTACCGCTCTGCACTAACCACAATAGAAAGGGGGTGCGAATGTTCCGCTTCCCAGAGAGCCCTGGCCGACGACAACTATGGCTGGCTCAAATGAAGCGAGACGGCTGGGAGCCCACCAGTGCGTCTCGTATTTGCTCTGTGAGTACTGCGTATTTCGTTCACTGCTTTTCCTGCGGCACACGTATATGTGTTTTGCGGTATTCGCGAATGAGTAGATAACCGAAGTTGTCGTTGCTGCGTCCACGCATTGCGAGTAGGAAGCCTACAAACGGGACGCGTCCGCGCGTTCGTACGGAGACGTGCTCGCTAGTCTGAGCTGTTGCCACGCTTGCGTTCGTGTCAGCGTAACCTCAGTATTATGTCGCAAGTGTTGCGGGCTGCGAATTTCTTGGTGCGCTCACTTTGAGAACTGGGTCGCTTACACGACCCTGAGAACCACCGCTGTAAAAAGCCCAGGTCGGCTTCTTTTTGTTGCGCCGTACTTCGCGTAGCTGGAGGGAGCGGCGGCTGGCTCCAAAATGGCGGCGCACAGAAAACTATGCTGAATTTGGTGGAAGCTGGCAACAGCGTGCCCCGTTGCCCGCTGGTTTTGGCTGAGTTTCTTGAAGGCACTTATTAAGACGTCTCCACCCCAAAAACGGCCGTTCATGTAGGCTCCTTACTGCTACCTGGGTAGTCCCATGTTGCAGACCCACTGATGGCCCCTAGAGTGAACACCGGCGTCGCTGCGGTCGCGGTGATGTGACGTCACAGCAAGGATATTCCTTCGCCGCTGCTTGTCTCTTCTTCGGCGCCCGCCGCGTACCTGCTGTTCAGCGATATGCCTGTGATTACTCCTCATTTGATCCTGAAAGACGACACCGTGGTGGCGCCTACCCGTCGCCTTGTCTTCTACACCTTATCACATCCGGGACGCATGCGCACGACCCCGCGCTTCACTTTCCAAAATAACTGCCAGATAGCACTCATGTCTCACGTGCAACGTGACTTGATGCACTCGTTCGCCTTCGCTGTATGCTCGAGCCACTTCAATGCAGCGCTTCAAGAATAACTCCAGAATACCATTCCCCAATTTTCTTGCGCGGAAGATCAAATAGACGTTTTTTTTTTCACTCTCTCTGGACGCAAGATTATCGTCTTTTTTTATAGGCCACCCTTTTAAAGAAACGTCTTGTTAAAAACCGGCATGCATTACTTTCTGTATTCGCCTAAGAAGAGTTGAAGGCGAAAACCATAGGGTGCGGCTATTACGTGAATGCGCACGTTGTTACTTCATATGGGCGTAAATAATTTGTTTACTCATGCTCACGCTGTAAGGACGATGTGGACGCGCGCATTTGATAGTGCTTACCTCAATAGACAACACTGAAACACGCAGACGTGCGGTATTCACCTTAATACGGTCAGGCACAATATAGTTGTGCATTCAAGTTGCTATTTTACTAAAAAAATGTGAACTACAAGCATAAAAAATGAATGAATAAACCACTACAATCTTCCTTTACGGGACTAAGTTTGAACCTGCGTCCTTACGCTTCGAAGGCGAAGGGATTCGCTACGGGGTACTCGCTTCCTTTAACTACGAAGCTCTGTAGGCTAGCCCTAATTTGTGTGGTCTATTTCAAAACTATCTTTGCGGTTTTGTAGCGCAGAAATAGAGCTTAATTGAAGAACTTGTCGCTGGACCACAAAACGCGAGGATTGCAACAGTTAGACCAACAACAAATGGCTGCGAAGCGACGGTGGATCTCTGCAGCGAAAGCTTTCTGTACCGAGCATGCCTTTCCATAGACTCTGTTATCGGTCCACTTTTGACTAAGCAATGACATCATGCGACGACGTTATGGGACGTCACAGTAACGTCGTAGTGACAGCGAAAAAACATTGCCGATCTGGCACGCCAAGAGGACGTCATATGTTGAAGCCTCACATTTTATTTCGCATCACTCGCGTTGACGACGACGCCACCGTCACCGCCGACGGTTGATTTTCGCGTTTGATGAGACACCTAGGGCTTTTGTCTTAATATCAATACGAAGCACGCCGCAGGGGCTCGCGCATGAAATTTCGAACACCCTTGGTTCTTCCACGTGTGCTGACATATGCATAGCGAATTGCATTGAGAGAACAAGAGTATAGGGTCAGGGCAGCGAGGAGTGGACGCAGAATACTGCGAGCAGGGCCCCTCAACCTGCCACTGGAATGCGCCGCGCTCCCTGAGGGCAGGTGAGAAGGTGACGAGTAGGGAGACAATACAACTGAAATATTCCTCTTCTGCATTCGCCCACTGGAGAAAACCGTATTATTCTTGCTTTTTTTTCAGTCGATGCACTGATCCTTCTCTTATATCTGTAGCAAATGTTTTTGTGGCCTCAGTGATTGGTTCACCGATAAACAATCAATGACGTCATGTGAAGACGTGTGACGTCACCGTAACGTCCTGATGATGGCACAAACAATGGCGATTTGGGAAACGACGACGAAGTGATATGATGCGGCCTCACATTATATTTCGCATCACTCGTGTTGACGATGACGCTGACGACGAATACGGTCAATTTTCGCGTTGGATGAGGCACTGGAGGTTTTCCTTCCAATATTATTACGAAGCCCGCCGTAGTGGCAGGCCCATGAAATTTTGAACCTCCTAGGTTCTTTAACATGCATTCGTATCGAATAACACGTTGACAACTAAAAATTCCAGTTCATGAGAATGCAGCCAGAAGAGCGGGGATGGAACCCGCGACCTACGGGTGAGTGTCCGAGCACAATAACCACTGTACCAGCGAGATGAACTAAAACGCAACTGAAGTGTGCGAACAGCGGATGAGGCGTGCTCCGGTTATGGCCAGGCGGCCAGAAGTCCGTAGAACCTGCCGGCTGCCTCCAGCCGTTGCGTCACTCAGACCTGCACACTTGGACACCTACTGGAAAACGCAGCAGCTGAGGAGGAATGATAGCGATTTTGCGTCGTACAAGAGCGAAACTGCAAAGAAGCACGATGCGCTTCACTGGCAGAATAGTCACCAGAATGTTTCTCACAGTTTTGATTTTTAAGCACTTATATCAAAGAATCTCTGGGAACTAGGATTAGAAGTTCATGCAGTCAAAAGACTTCTGTATTGTACGTTCTTCTGGAGGATTGTCCAGCTTAGCAGCCTGTTTCGTGGCACTTGAATTGATAATCATCACTCGTGCCACATGGTGCGTCTTTCAGAATGGCCCGTTGTCTCGACGCACTGAAAAGCATACTTACCTGGTGTCGGATTCCTGGTGGTCACTGGGGCCGGGAACCCGTGCGGAGGCCCGTCCATTGCACTGCGGTGGGCTGAAGCACGCCACTACCCCAAAGCGGGGTAGGTGGGACATGTAATTTGTGGTAGTGGGGCTAGGCGTACGCGCCAGCCCCTTCCATACTCAAATTCAAAGACAGGTGGAAGACGTAAAAAGTGGCCACTGGAAAACGTGGCCCGTTGTCTCGACGCAGTCAATAGCGTGCTTAACTGGTGTCGGATTCACGGTGGTCACTCTGTGCCGAGACCTGTGCGTTGCATTGTGGTGGGCTGAAGCAGGCCATTAGAAAAATAAGGAATGACGGTTACTATTACTAGGTAATTTTCCCAAGGTCTAACGACATATGTAGCTCAAGTTCGGGCGAAAAGCGGTTCAGAAGCCAGTGACATCTGCATGGGGAGCTGCGATTGAAGCGCGACTATATGTTGTTGGAAGAAACGCTAAGAGTAAAAAACAGTTTGACCACAAGCTGAAGCAATCGCTATGTTTTACAAATGACACACACACAACGCTGACTTTCCACTGAAAACGCTATTACAACGCAGTTCCGCAGATGATGATAACAATCAATTTTATTTTCCGTCAGATAAAAAAAAACGCCAGGCCTGTGCGGTAGGCGCAGCACATTCACAGCGAAAGCTAGAAGATTGGCCTTTTAGAGCCTTTTCAGAACACTCATTGAATAACTTGCAAGCACACTTGCTTGGCACCCATTAGGGCATTATTAATAAACTTTTGGGAAGTAGGCCAGCATTGGCTATGCTATTTTTTGTCATTCTTCTCAGAAGCGTGGTATCCATTAAACACTTGCAAGGAATTTTGTGCCAATTGTCCATGCAGTGGCTGACGACAAGGAGGAATAAAGGATGAAGACTGCATGCGCCACAGTTAATAGGCGAACAAGAACAAGCTTTTGTGATGTTTTTGAGAATTGGATGGCCCACTCGTTACGCTATTCACATTGTGCGATGACTGGTTATTTTTTCGCAAACTTGCCTTAGGCAAACTTCAAGCTTGCCTAAGGCAAGTTTGATAACAATTCGGAATACCCGGTGTAGCTCAGTGGTAGTATAATGGACTAGCACCCAGCGGACCCGAGTTCGAGCGGCATGCACTGTTCTATTGGCGCTAGGTTTTCTTTTATCTAATTTGCGCGATGTGGTTACGGACACCAACGTCGGCGGCGGTGGTCTACAACAACTGCGCGTGACCCGAAAAGTGATCGCATAGCAGCTTTCGCTGTAAAAGAGCCCTTAGTCGATCCCCCTCTGACTAGATGGCGCGGTGACTGATGGGGCCACCAGCGACAGCGAAACGTCGAGAATACGGCCAAGGTGGCTCTCGCCGCAAAACGAAACCAAGGTATATGTAAACGGGTAACGTGAGATCCATAGAAGCCCAAGTATCCGGTTATTGGCGGCTTGTTGCAACCGTCGCCATCTACGTATAGAGCGGACAACAAAAATGAATGAAATATGACATCACAGCTGGAAGTGGTAGCGACGTCGTGCATTCATGCTACATGTCGCAAAATTGAAGTATTTTATTGATTGCTGACCTTTTACTTGCTTTTATATATACGTTATTATATTGCTTCTTATGACTCACTAGTTGAGTGCCCGAGAGAAAGGGAAGACCAAGGAAGAAGATTGAAGAAGCAAGGTTGTTTTATTCGCCAAATAGTGTACATGCTACATACATTAAAAACTTTGCATCTGAGATTGTGACACAGCTCTTCACGAGCACAATAGCACAATAATTCCAAAACTCATGTTTCCCTATTGTGGAAAATTGTTCTTCCAGCACCCGCTTTGAATAATTGTTCCGCATCGACGCCCATTTCAACCGGGTCGAGGCCGCGCGCACCGCTGCTGCTTCGCATTCCGTCAGGGTTCTCTTCGGGAAGATGGTCCATAATTTTGTCCACTTTTGTTTTTTCAAATTTACAATACAATTACTTCTAAGAGCGCTTTCTCTACTTTTGCTGGCATAAATGTCTGTTAGTACCAATTAATATTGTCTCTTCGAAGAGGCACGACAACTCTTTCCGTGGTTAATTTGAACTCTCTCCAGAGAGTCGTGTTACTCAAAAAGGTAGTTATCGTCTCTATAGACGTGGCTAGTAGCACTGTCCAGAAATACTCGCACATACTCCCTTTTTTTTTGCTTATAGCACAGACACATGTCTACCCCTGTAATACTTGTGCTTACACTTGCATGTGTTTTCCGTGTTGTTGCCTGCGAATATTTAATAACTGGCTATCAATCAGGCGCTGTTACAGAGATGCAGTTATTATAGTTGTCGTGCCATCATCACCATCATCATTTTTTCCATCACCGCGCCGCGTCTCTCGCGCAGCTGGCGCTAGCTCGAGCTGCGCGAGGATTAGAACGAGCTCACGCACCCGGCGCGTCGGACATGGACAGCCACCGCGGCTCCTCTTCAGGCGTGGAATAAAGTGGCGAGCTCAGCACGGCCCCGTCTGCCGCCTTCGACGCCGTCTCACGTCTCTCTTCTCTCGCCGCTACATAGTGAACACTTTCGGCAGTTTTTATGGGAGTTCATTTACGTTTCAATGTGCCGCAATCACCCTCTTTTTCATGCTTCTTTTCTGGAGCTGTGTTCAGTCAATTCTTTATAGCATCCTTTTTTCATCACATTGTGACTTTGTTTTCTTCACTACAGTATGGTGCCACTTGACAGCTCTATGCTCTCAGTGTTGGACAAGCTTTTTCACAGTAGCTATTCAAGGCTTTGACATCACCAATACTTTAAAAAACCTGCTGTTATTTTTTTCAAACCTCACCTTTTTTAATTGCCATGTTTGTCGTCTGCTACATATGCATATCTGAGACAGACGTCAAGTGAGTGCAACACTTTTTCTCAAGAAGGAAGGAAGGAAGAAAGGAAGGAAGGAAATAAAGAAAATAACTTTATTTTGGTCCTGGAGAATGCGTCTGAGTCACGCACACGGCTCAACATATTTCCTCAGAAAGAAGGAAGGAAGGAAAAAAGGAAGAAGGGAAGGAAGGAAGGAAGGAAGGAAAATAACTTTATTTTGGTTCTGGGAAACACGACTGAGTCACGCACCCGGCTCAGTCGCACGTAGAGACTGGCAAGCTGAGCCTGCCGGCCACCTCGCGGCTCCGCTGGACAGCCGTGAGCTGATCAGTGAGAGCGGGGCTGTGTAGAAGCATCTCCCAATGCTCCAGTGTGAAGCTTGAATCTCAGCACGTGCTGAGTGTATGCTCTGATGTGGCTGTCTCACCACATGGCGAGCACAGGTCGTTCGGGAATACGTCAGGGTATATGTCGTGGAGAAAGCCCCGCCACGGTGGTCTAGTGGCTAAGGTACTCGGCTGCTGAGCCGCAGGGCGCGGGTTCGAATCCCATCTGTGGCGGCTGCATTTCCGCTGGAGGCGGAAATGTTGTAGGCCCGTGTGCTCAGATTTGGGTGCACGTTGAAGAACCCCAGGTGGTCAAAATTTCCGGAGCCCTCCACTACGGCGTCTCTCATAATCATATCGTTGTTTTGGGACGTAAACCCCACAAATCAATCAATATGTCGTGGAGAAACGCAGGAATTGGATGGCATTTTCTCGTGAAGTTGCGTATTTAAAAGCGAACACACTGTCTTGAACGTCTAGTTCCCTTCAACAGTATCATCACAACAAAAAAAAACTAGAATGGTGTTTACTTTTATATCAAGAGTGCCCAATGGTGTAACGGAGTGCAACGCATAGTTATCGTATAAAGGGAACCGAGCAGGCAAACTGTCAAAAAGCACACACACACACCCACGCACGCACACGCTCGCAGGCGCACACACACTCACACGCCTACGCGCGCGCACACACAAACACGCACAAATAAACGAAGCATTGAAGTTATGATAAATTGGTAAAGAGTGCCGTGCCCAGATAAATTGGTTACGCGTGTCAAAGTCGCTACCTTGCTTTACCACTTCTGCGCATGTTTCCCGTTCAAGCGAATATTTGATCATCACTAGCTCATACATCACTTAAACTTGACCTGTACAGAAGAGCGGATCATTGCATTATATGCTTCTGCACAAGCCTATGTTTCACCGGGATGTCGATTACCTAGAACTTCTAACAAGTATATAATATGTGGGGTTTAACGTCCCAAAACCTCCATATGATTATGAGAGACGCCGTAGTGGAGGACTCCGGAAATTTCGACCACCTGGGGTTCTTTAGCGTGCACCCAAATCTGAGCACACGGGCCTACAACATTTCCGCCTCCATCGGAAATGCAGCCGTTCTAACAAGTATAGTCTCACTCGATAACGTTTGCATCTGTGCAATATTGTGTGTTCGAAATACCGCATTTACCCAACTCCGCTTGCCCCCCCCCCCCTTTTTTTTGAGGGGGGGGGAGAGAAGAAGAGACCTTAAAATCGCATGCGCGTTAGATTCAGGTACAAACGCCTAAACTGCCTCACAGCTGTAATTTTAGTTGTGGAAAGTCGGGTGTGCATCGGAAGCGAGGGTGCGTTGTAATTGGGTAAACACGGTATATTGTCACGTGGTCTTGACGTTGAAGAAGGTAGCAGTCAGCAGATTCAAGACAAAACTCGCTATCTGGGTGAACTTGTACCTGAGCAAATAAGTCGAACTGCAGCAATTCACGCTGCATGTTTGCACTGATAGTGGTGAGCACAGCATTGGCCGTCGATAAGGTGATCTCTGGTTAGGTGCGCCGGAAATCATACTTGCAGCATGAAACAATCAATCCTTATCACTCGCGTAGGCTCTAAAATGAGGCTAGCCGCTCACGTGCTGCACGTAACCAGCTGCCAGAACCAGCTCGAACAATTTTGAAAGAAAGAAAAGGAACCAGAGCAAAAGGAAAGGTAGGGGCGTTGCCCAGTTTAGAAGGGCATGTGTGCTATGTCAGCTGCGCTACATCGTGGAAAGGGATGATGGAGTTTTAGAGACTGAGAGAGAGAGAGAGGAGAGAGCACGCAAACACGAAGTGACACTCTGCAATCATTATAACACGATATTTCATTGCCTTCAAGAAGTTTAGCACTGGGATCGCGCTGCCATGTTTTGGTGTCTTCAGGAGTGTTCAAAGCGAACAGTTGTGAAGC